GCCCCCTTCTTTGCTGTACCGCTTCCCGGGGCCAGGAGCAGCCAGAGGGTCTGGGAGCATCCCCAGGGTATAGCCATTGCCTCTGCACCCTATAAACACATGTCCCTCCATGCCCTGTGTGCAGAGAACAGCCAGCTCATGACACCGCTGACACCCCCTGTGCCAGCTAGGGAGAGTGGTTGGGGTTTATTTCCCCAAAAGCTCATTTTTTTGCGCCCAGAGCCTCAGTAGGGAGAGGAAGGGGCTAATCCCTTCCTGGGTCCGCCGGGGCTCCTGGCATGGCTGTGGCCCCACCACCCCTCGGTCTCCTCTGTCCCCCACTCCACAGGATGTGGCTGGTGGTGCCTGGGGGGGGGGGAGGGGAGGTGGTGATGGGGAAGCTGTCCAGACATGGTGGCCCCCCCCCCCCCCCCAGCCACCCCCATGCTGGGGACCCTGGCATCCTGCTGCCCTCCCCCAGCCACGCCACCCTCCATCATCTCCTCATTCCCAGCCTGGGTAATTGGTGGCCTGGTGACAGACAGGCTCATTAACAGCTTAATTTCGGCTTTGTCTCTTCCTGCCCAACCCCCAGCCCAGGTGGGGACCAACCCAGCAGGGTGCGGGGATGGGCACCCCCGAGGCCACGGCACCCCATTGCTGTGCCCCATGGGGGCACCCCCAGAGCTGGTGGGAGAACACACGTGTACACACGCATGTGCAGCACGCACCGGCAGGCAGCACCGCCCTGGGCAGCCCACACGGCTTTGGCTCCCTGACATCGGGGCGCAAGGGAGGGACCCCCATCCCTGGGCATGGGGACAGTGCCACCCTGCACCTCGCCCCGCCGCCCGCAGCCATGCCGCCAGGGCGGATGCCCGCAGGTGCCGGTGGCTGCCCACCCTCCCGGCCTCACCCTGTCCTTGTTTGCTCCCGTAACGGCAGCGGCGTTTCGGCTCCTTTGTGCCGGTAGATAACAGGGGCCGCCGCCGCCTCTGAAGCACCGGCCGGCAGCCCGGGCACCGCTGCCGCTCCACACCCCGAACCGGGCGGCGGGCAGGGGTGCAAACTGAGGGTATGAGCGCAGGGTGCAGGCAGGAGCATGGGTGCAGGCAAGGGGCATGGGTAGGAATGCAGGCAGGGATGGGTGATGGTACAGGCGGCGGCGCAGGCAGTGGGTATGGGCACGGGTCACGGGCATAGGGTGCAGGCAGGTTTCCCAGCCCCACTGCTCCTCTGCTTTTCCCCTCGGGTCCATATCGCAGGCCAGGAGCCCGTCCCCAGCACCTCCTCACCAGGGCAGTGCTCCAAATGACGGCCCCGTCCCCCTCCCCAGCAAAAGCAGCCGGCGGCAGCCCACAAACGGCTGGTGTTGGGCCCCCAAAGGCCACCCCGCCGGATGGAGGCCTGGCCGCCTTTCAAAGGCGCGTTTGTGTTGTATAATTTATCGGCAGGAGATAACAGCCAAGCAGCTAACGAGGCAGGGAGGGTGGTGGGGGGGATGCACCCCCGCTCTGGGGAGCGTGGCACTGCGGGCACCGGGACTGCGGGGTTCTGCCACACCAGGGGCACGGGCACCTCCCCGGTCACAGAGGGACAGGTGTACCCCCCACTGGTCCTCATTTTGTGCTGGGGTGTTTTGGGGGTGCCCCAAGGCGGGGGCAGAGACAGTGCCACCCTGTGCACCGTTTTGGAGGCAGTGTCTGGGGGCTGCCCTCCCCCCCCAACCCAGGTATGCCTGCTCCAGCCACCCTGATGCCACCCCAGGGACTACGGCATAACCAGAGCCTGAGGGTCAGCTTTTGGGGGGGTTCTTCACCTCAGGGACTCATGGCCTGGTCAGGGGAGGCAGTGGGCATGGGGGGGGGGGGGCAGTGCCCAGGGTAGGGGGTGGCTGGTCCCATGGGCACAGGGGCAGCACCTGGCGCCGGATCCGAGGAGGGTTTGTTTAATCCCAGATAAGGAGGCGACGCCAGGCACCTGGCTGGCAAACGGGCACTCCCCAGGCAGCGGCACCGAAGGCAGTACCGACCCCCCCCCAGCACCCTCAGGCCATCTGCTTGTGTCCCCCCCAGCAGCACGGGGCTGGGGCGCACGGGTCCCTCTGGCCGCTCACACTCCTGTGGTGCAGCACAGCATGGCGTGGCACGGCACGGCACAGCGTGGCACAGGGTCAGCGAGGCAGCGGGCACAGAGGCAGAGCCAGATGGGGATGTAGTGCCGGGAAAAGCGGGGTGCCCCATCCTCTGCCAATCCCAGCTGGATTTACGCCAGGGCCAGCCCCCGCCCCGGCCGATCCTGCCCCACAGGCTGCCTGGGCGCAGGGCCGAGGAGGGGGCTTGGCACCATGGCCCTGCCACACAGCCAGCACCCGGGGTCTGGGGGCTGTGCCAGGCTCCCACTGCCACCCCAGCCTCATGGCATCTGGGGGGCACCTGGAAACCTGCCCCTTTCCCCCCCGCCCTCCCACCATCTGGCCCTGCAGGTGGCTGTGTGCCCGTGACCCCCGCGTGGGGCCGTGCCCACCTGTGCCCCGGGTCGGGGTTCAGGTGTGCCCCGGTCCCCCAAGGGCAGGGGGACAGACGGCACTGCCGGCTGGCAGGGGCCGCGGGCAGCAGCATCGTGGGGGGGTGGGGGGGGGGGGCCGCCTCACCGGCTGGCGAGCACAACCCCAGCTGCCTGCCGGCCTGCACTGAGCGTGCCAGGTCTCAGCGGGAGCAGGCAGGGACAGCCGGGTGGGATAAGCCCTTTGTGTCACCCCGCAGCGGCCCCGAGAGCATCCAAGCAGGGGGCACAGCCGTGCCAGGCCCCCCCCATACACACCCCACCCTGAATCGTGCCATACCCCTGAGCGGGGGCTGGCACATGGGTCCCTCCCTGAAAAACTGCCCTGGCCCCGCAAATCACCCTGCCCCAGCCTGGCGGGTCACATCTCTCCAGGGTGGCACCTTGGGGATAATGGAGGGGGCAACTGGTCAGACTGGGAAACCTGGCTGGGGTAGGGATTCCCCCCCACACACAGTTCGGCACAACCTGGGGGTGCTCTGCCATGCTCGGTGTGTTGCTGCCACCCCCTGGCAACATGTGCAGCCCCGGGCGCCCCCCACAGCCCCCCCACGCAGGGGTGCGCAGGCTTCCCCCATAGCCCAGCCCCACACCCCCCCACAGCAGGCAGGGGCACCCCAGGGTGTAGGATGCCAGGGAGGGAGCAGGGAACTCATGGGGGGCACCAGGCGCTTGGGCACAGCCCCCACATTCTGTGAGGGAGGTTTGTGCCACCCCCCTAGAGCCTGGGTGGGCAGAGTGGGGAGGGGGGTGTGAGGCTGGGGGGGGAGGGGGGATCGCCTGCCCAGACGATGATTAGAAGGAGCCGAGGTCATGTCCCAGCAAATTAAGGCTGTCCCCGCTGAGTGCCACCGCCGCGGGGTGACCTTGCTGTGAACCGCCTGTGTGTCTCCCCACCGCCCCCCCACGCTGGGCCACCAGCACCCCCGGTCACGCCAGCATCCCCCCCGCTGCGTGTCACCATGCTGCCCCATCCCGCTGCCTGCACCTCGGGCAAGCGTGGGGATGCGCTGTCACCGTGTCACGGCTGGGCGGGGGGACGACGACACGCACGCCGTGGAGAGGTCACGCCGTGGGTGGGTCTGGGGACCACGGGCGTCTTGTGATGAGCATCCCGGCGTGGATGCTGGGGGCACCTCGGCACCGGGTGCCACTCGCAGTGACAGCGTGGGCTGTGTCCCCCACGCAGCCACCTCGCTGCAGGCATCGCGGCCACGCACGGGTACCCGTGTCCCACGCATATCCCCACTCGTGGTCCCCCGTGGGCTGGTGGCATGTGCACCGTGCCACCTGCCTTCCCCCGTCCCCGCCACCCACCTCCGTGCCACGTCTGAGCAGGCACCCCCTGCCCAAATCGGGGGGGCAGGGTCCCCGCAGCCACATCTTGCCCGAGCCAGGAAAAAATGGGTTACGGCAGGCTGGGGGTGGCATTTGGGGACCGGGGGGGTGTGGAGGGGCTGAACTCCTGACCCCACGCCAGCAGCTCCCAACCAGATGCCAGGCATGCGAGCGCACCCCTGCCCCCCTCAAATGTGTGAGCCGCTCCCCGCCCTGCCAGATCCCCCGGCTTCCCTCACGGTTCATCGGCAGGCCACGGGTGACGGCCGTCGCCTGTCCATCCCCCACGTAGCTGGCGTGGGATGGGAAAGGAGCCGGCGGGGGCTGAGTCCGCGCAGCTCGTGACACTGATGCTCGGCTACGGCGGGTTCGGGTGAAGTCCCTCTGTCCCACGCCTCGAGGGGGACGGTGGCTACAAAGCCCCCGTGGGGCACCTCGGACCTGCCCTCCGCGTGGGGGGGTCCGAGCTGTGCCTGCTCCACGCCGGGGCAGCTCCACGCCGGGGCCCGCCCGTGGCCGTGGGAACGCCGCGGCGTACCGGTGCCATCCGCGGCCTCGCAGCTCCCCCTGCCGGCACCCGGGCGGGCCGGCCCCCCCCCCCCCCCCCCGCGGCACAGGCACCCCCGGAGGGGTCCAAACGCATGACACCCACACACCCACACGCCACGGCGACAGGCTCTGCGGGACCCTTCGGGGACAGTGCGGTCACGGCAGGGGCCCTGGCAGCCCCCCCCCCATTGCAGCGCACACCCCCCCCCCCCCCCGCAGCGCACCCCACTGCTGGGCACCCCCCATTGCAACGCCCCCCTCACTGCAATATGCCCCCTTGCAATTCCCCACCCCCCGTTGTAACGCCCGGTGCCGGGGATGCCCGCCCATTGACCCAGCCGTGAATCTGCCGCGGCCCAGGTGCTCGGCGCTGCAGGGACGCCCGGGGCGCAGCCCCCGCGACGCGGGGGAGGGAGGGGGAGCGTCCCAAACCGGGACCGGCGGGCACTAGGGCCGCGCGGACACCCGCCGCCGGCCGGCAGCAGTGCGCAGGCGCACACATCGCCCCGCCCACCCCCCCCACCCCACCCCCCCCCCCCTCGCCGCTTAACTTCCGTCCCGCGGCGGAAGCGGCGGGTGCGTCATCGCCGTGCGCCGGGCGGGAGCGGGACGCGGGTTCGCCGCCATGGCCGGGATCCTCTTCGAGGACATCTTCGACGTGAAGGACATCGATCCTGAGGGCAAGAAGTTCGACCGCGGTGAGCGGGGCCCCGCGATGCCTCGGTCCTGTGCCCGCTTCCCCCCGCCCTTCCCTCACAAAGGGCCCTGCACCCCCCCCCACTAAAACCCCTCTGCGCCCCCTTCCCAGCCTGGGGTGGGGGCAGCAGCGGCCTGGCCCTGGGGCCCTGGTCCCACACAGCCCCTGGGGGAGGGAGGTGTGCGTTTTCTCTGCCCTTGCCCCTGACTCTGCGCCGCTCTCCCCAGTGTCCCGCCTGCACTGCGAGAGCGAATCCTTCAAGATGGATCTCATTCTGGACGTGAACATCCAGATCTACCCCGTGGACCTTGGTAAGCTGTCGGGCTGCCAGTCCAGAGGTGCGCCAGGATGGCGGGAGGCTGGAAGGGGGTGTTGTGCGCTGCTGCTTGGAGGAAGGGGGCTGAATTTGCTGCAAGCCATCAAGGAGTGAGCTGTCACGGACTTCCTCGAGCCCCTGTGCTGTCCCCAAGTCCCGGGAGGTACTGGGCACTTGGGGGCTGAGCTGGATTCTGGTTCACCTTCCTGTATTTGTTTGAGCTCCTCTAGCTGGCCCGTTCCCTAGAGACACGCTGTAGTGAAACTGCCTCAGCTGGTGGCAAGCAGCTTTAAGGGGCACCTTTTGAAATGAGCTTCTTTGGCTAAATACTCCAGATGGGTGGAAAAGAGTGTCTTACCCTCAGCAAAGCACGGGAGGTCTGGGACTGGTGCTGCGGGGTCTTGTGAACCTGCCCAGGGTTTAGATGAGCTCTCTGGGACTCTCTCTCCCCGTGGGTCTGTTGCCGTGTCCCATGAAAACACCAGCAGTGGTGTCCTGGTGGCTCTGGGCTCCTCCGTGGTGGTGACCAATGTCCGTGGGGAATGGGGAGATAAAGGATCGGGAGCGATCTTTTTGTTGTTCCCCACAATCCTGTTGGAGAACTGAGGGCAGGGAGAGGGTTTGTGTTAAACCCACCGCCCTGAGATCTGCTCTGGCCCCCCCCCTCCTCCCCGGCCTTCTCCCCACTCCTCTGCTTTCTCTTCCCAGGAGACAAATTCCGCCTGGTCATTGCCAGCACCTTGTATGAAGATGGCACCCTGGATGACGGTGAATATAACCCCACAGATGACAGGCCGTCCAGGTACGGGGGGTCCAGCCAGGACCCACGTGGGGGTGGACGAGGGAAAAGGTGAAGTGCTGAGGGGCTGTGAAGCGCCTTCTCCCACAGCGGGGGCGGTTCCTGGTTTTGACTCTTCTCTGAACTCCTGCCATCCCATCGCAGGGCGGACCAGTTCGAGTACGTGATGTACGGCAAGGTGTACAGGATCGAAGGGGATGAGACCTCCACAGAGGCAGCCACACGCCTGTGAGTGCCCGTCGGCAGGACGGGGGGGTCATGGGGCTGGGGGGGGCACCGGGATCTCAGCCTGCATCTCCCATGGGATTCACTGCTCCTCTTCTCCCGCCCCAGCTCTGCCTACGTGTCCTATGGGGGGCTGCTCATGCGGCTGCAGGGAGATGCAAACAACCTGCACGGGTTTGAAGTGGACTCTCGGGTTTACCTGCTGATGAAGAAGCTGGCCTTCTAGGATACCTCCTGCCTCCGTGGGCTGCCCCAGAGACATTCTGCTGGCGAGCAAACAAGAGTCCTGTGACCCCAAATCCTGCCCCAGCACCCACACTGCCTGGCCCTGCTGGAGCGGAGGGAGGAAGGGGCAATCCCCCTCCTCATCCCAGCCTCTTCTGACTCCTGCTGGGATCTGCAGCCCCCTCTTGCATGGAGAGGTGTCTGACGGCTGAGTGGAGACCATGCTGGGCATCTCCTCACCTTGGCCTTCAGTGTTTCAGAAGCAGGTTCAGCCCCAGCTATGGCTGGTCTGGGACAGCTGCCTGTCTGCCTCGGGGCTGGGGACTGCTTCCTAAGGAGCTGTCCTGAGTCTGACTGGGCTTGGTTTTGATTAAACTGGGATATTTTTTTTTTTTCTAGATTTGGCTCTGCTAGAAAGGTGAGGCTGGAAGGGAGTGGGCATGCCTTTGTGGGAGGGCAGAGGAGGCCTGCACTGATTTACCAAAGGGCAGGTGGTCCAAACCTGCCTTGGGCTCTTCTCTGCTGCCCCGCTGGGTGTGCGGGAACTGGGGAGAGGCAAGTGGGTGTGGAGAGGGCAAGGAGTGGTAGCTCATGTCCCTGAGTGGGCTCCGGTGCCCGATGGAGCCCACCCGCCCTGCAGAGCTGGTGGCTGCCGCAGGAGGGAGCTGGGTGAAGGGGAGACACTCGGAGCTCGTCCCCAAGGGGCTGCCGCTTACAGAGGCCCCTGGGGGTGCACGGTCCCCCCTGCCAGGGCCTCAGCAGTGGGGAAACAAGAGGACACAAACGACCCTTTAGAAAAATAGCTCTTTAATTGTAAAGCATTCACAGTAGAGGTGCCTGCCTGGGTGAGAGCAGGGCCCGTGCCTGCTGGCACATGGGTGTTGCTGCTGTCTGCCTCCATGGGCTGTGCGATCGCTGAAGGCTTGAGGAGCAGGAGCCAACCCTTTCCCTGCCGGCACCTTCCTGGGCAACCAGAGCACAGCTCAGTGTCCAGGATTGCTCTGACCTGGGATCAGGGGCGAACCCTGTGCGCAGCCTCAGCAGGCCATGCACTGAGGGTCTCTGCCACCCCCCTGGCCTTGCTTGCACAAGTCCTTGGCCAAATCGTGGAAGAAAAAGCGTAGCTTGCCCTGCACCAGCTGCCGGTAGGTGAGGAAGATGCTGTTGACATGGGTCTGCTCCGTGGAGCGTGGGGAGCAGCCTGGCTCCCAGGGTCCTGCCTGAGGGGCGAGAGTGGGACAAGAGGGGTGACAAATGCCATTGGTGCCCAGCGCAGCTGGTGCCTGCGTCGGGGCAGTGTGGCTCGCATGGGGAGGTCTCACCTCCCAGCCAAAGGTCTGCAGGAGCCGGAGGAAGGAGCTGGCATGTTGGTGAAGCTGATTCAGCTGCCTGGCCCCACACTCCTGGGTCACCTGGCCCTGGGCCACGGCCACAGCGCCCACCAGCAGTGCCAGGTCGCAGAGGATCTCCCGCCGCTTGGTCTCGTTCTGGGGGAGCAGGCAGTGAGCGGGCTGGCCCCCAGGCCCCGTTTATTCCCCTGCCCAACCTGGGTATGGATATGATCCTCCACCCCCCCTGTGGCCCCAGGTATGCCCACAGGTGTTTTGTTCAGCATTTCTGGTGCCTGTGCCAACCCGAGGGCTCCTTCTCCAGCCCCACGGGCGCCCCAGTGCCAGCACCATCCTCCCCAGCCCCTCTCACCGATTTGGATTTCCATTGCTGGAGCCTGAAGTCCACTAAGGGCAGCACTGCGGGGCAGCTGAGCGCGGGCAGTGCCTGGCACTGGCCCTACAGGGCAGAGGAGATGCCAAGATGAGATACCAGGAGCTGTGCCTTCCCCTGGCATTGGGTTTTGGGGTGGGGGGACACAGACACTGTATCCTCACCACTCTCTTCTCCATGTCCTTGGCCTCCCCGATGTACTTCTGGATGAGTCTGTTGTCGCAGACTAGCCGTGTTGGGGTGGCATGGCCCTCTTCCACGTGCAGGAGGAATGATGTGAGGAGGAGCAGTCCTGGAGGAGATGGGGTTACCCTGGGCGCTGTGCCTGGGCAGCTCCATCCCAGGGTCACGCCTGCAGTGGCAACTCCTCCCCCCAGTCCAGGGGTGGCCTTGATGGCCCCATGGTGGGGGACGCATTGGAAGGTTGAGGAGGGCCTGGTGCTGCCCCTCTGGTCGGTCAGCTCAGGTGCCCAGTGGTCACTGGGGAGAGCTGGGGTTTCCATGCCAAGGGGCCACACAGCCACATCTGTGCCAGGTTATTTGTCTCTGCTCCAGGCTGAGCGGCAGAGAGACCGGGGCCAGCCCTCCCGATCTGTGCCAGGAGCAGCTCCAGGAATCACGTGCGTTTCGGGGAATCCCTGCCTTGCAGCATCCTGTGGTGTGTCCCTGCTCTAGCCCCAGGGCTCGCCAGCCAGCACTGCCTGCCCTAGCGCTGCTGCCACGCTGCTGCCCTGGGCACCTCTGAGCCATCCTGGCGACAGGCATCTCCTTCCCCAAAGGCCCTCTGTGCATCCACCTGCCTTGCTCCCCGCCTTCGTGCTCCGCCTGTCCCCAAAAGCCCTCAGCGCAGCCTGCTTCCCGAGGCCCCGCGTGGAAAGATGCTTGGCTGCCTTTGCGCACCAGTAGCGAACCAAACCAGAGCCACCCTTGGGGTTTGCTGCCCGCAGGTGGGGCTTATCTCTTGGGGTGCCCAGGTGGGGGATGTGCTGGCTGTGCAGCCACGGTGTCCACTGCCAACTCCATGCCCCTTCCTGCTCGCTCCCGTTCCCCCCTCTCAGCCACGCACTCACTGTTCAGCTCCATGCTCAGCTGGGGGCTTCGGCCCTGTATCTTCCACCCTGGGGCCAGTGGCTGCTCCCCGGCTCCCGTCCCCCTTCCATGGAGGGTGCTGGTGGGGCGGGCTCCCCGCCAGCCACCCAGCCGGGACGGAGGGCCGGGGGCTGGGAGCGCCCCCGGGGCGGCACGGCGCAGCTCTCCGGCTCCCACCCGGCCGCCCAGCCGAGGCAGTGCGATTTCCTGTTGTGTCGCCGCTGACCTTCGAGCAAAATCGCAGCGGGGGCCCCGGGCCCGGGGGACGGCTTCCTGCCTCCGGCCGCTTCCTCCCTTGGCTCAGGGCGCGGGAAGGGCGTCCCCGGGCGCCCTCCGGGGCTGCTCACCTGCCCCCTGGCCCGAGCGCTTGGCTGCCGGAACCTCGCTGGTCAGACCTCGGCGGTGCCTGGCCAGGGGGTGAAAGCGGCCCTGGTACCTGCAGAAGAGATGGCATGGGTGACCCGTGCTGGCCGGCCCCTGGACCATCAGTCCTGATGGGGTCCTGCTCCTGGGAGGCATGAAGGCCACCAAAAACCCTCGCTCAAGAGGTGGGCTCCAGCCCTGGTGGCCCTCACCCAGAAGCAGACCTCACCCCTGGTCACCTTCACCCAGAGGTGAAGCCCATACCTTTGACTTTCACCCAGAAGTGGACCCCCAAACCCTGGTGACCCTGACTCAGCGCTGGGCTCCAACCCCTGTGACCCTTGCCCAGAGGTGGTCTCTGGTCCCTGCAGCTGTCGCCCAGAGGTGACTCGGGGAGGTGGTGATCCCTGGCATGGCAGCGGGGCGTGAGGGCCCCTCCAAGCTACAGAGGTTGATGGGGCAGGGGGGCCTGGCTGACACGGGGTCCCTGGGGCTGTTTCACTAGTGGTCTTGGTTGGGGGCAGGGTGGGTGAAGCACCCACAGACACCCCCTCCCTGAGTCACAGAAGCACTGGGGGTCTGTCCAGCACAAGGGCCTAGCATGGCCACAGCACCCCCTGGCAAAGTTGTACACACACACCCCCCACCCCCCCTCCAGGGAGCAATGACTGCTGGAAGGGGGTGGGGGGCGAGCAGTGCACACACCCACACCCATGCATACATGTATGTGTGTGTCTGTACGGCACGTGTGTACACACCCCCCACGTGCACCCTCAGACCTACGTGCACACAGGCACACTTCCTGCGGCACGTGTCCGGGGTACACGCACAGATAACCCCTGGGAGCCCCACGCACTTCCCTTGGTGGCGGGGGACACCCCCTCCTGCTCCCCCCCACCCCCCCCCAGCCCACATCCTCTTGCCCCTGGTCTCCCCACAGGCAGCGCGCTTCCTTCTCACACCCCTGTTCTCGCACGCTCCCACCCCTGTCCCTGCGGCCGGCAGTTCCCGGCAGCGTCTGGCCGGGTGACAGCAGTCAGAGTAAACACCTCAGCCCCGCTCTGCCTGCCCCATGCCTCGCTCAGCCCCCAGCAGCCCACCTTGCGGGTTGTGGGGTGCCCGGACCGGGGGGTTCAGTGGGTGCCGCAGCTCCGGGGACGAGGCTGGCAGCCCCGCTCGCCTGGGGTGCAGCTGGCAGCGGCGGGAGCCACGAGTGCCAGGGTCAAACACCGCCGGGCTTCCCCCCACACGGCCGTGTCCCGTCTCTGCGGACGTGACAAGCTGCAAACGCGCCCGCCAGCACCCTCAGCCCCTCTGCCAGCGCTGGCCCCGCTCCCGCCGCCAGCCCCGTGCCAGTCTCTGCTGCGCCCAGGTCCCCGTCACTCCTTGGGTGCAAAACCATTGGTGATGCCAGGCTGAAGAACTGCGGTGCCCTGCGCTCCCTGCTTGCCCTCGTAACTAGGCAAACGAACCCACGTGGGAAAAACAGAGGGCAGCTGGAAACCAGTGAACACCAAGGCACCCCAAACTGCCCATAATAGTCCCTTTACTCCCAAACTCTCCTTTTCAGCTGTGCCAGAAGCTGGCGGGCAGCGGGAGCCCGTGCCTGTGGGCAGCCTGGTATTCTACTGGAAAGGGCAATGCCAGCATCTGCTGCCCATGCCAGATGTGGGGGGGGGAGAGCCCCCAGTGCTGGCCCACCACGTTTCATCCAGCCCAAATCCAGGGATGCTGCGTGCTATGGAGGGAGGGGGGTACGGGGGCAGTGAGTGAGGCTCAGGGAGCCCAGAGGGGCATGGGGGCTCTGGCCAAGACGGGCAGGGCTCTGGCAGGGGGCAGGAAGCCGGGTGGGGGCCGCGGGGCTGCACAGCTGGCCGGACCCTGGTGCCAAGTTTCCCACCTCTCCTTACAGGGTGCAAAGTGCCGGGAATTCCGCTTCGGGGGGTGCAGCCGTTCGCACCCACTTTGCCAAGGTGCCAAAGGCAGCCGGAGGTGCCAGGCAGCGGCGGAGGGGGGGGGTGGGGACGGGACGGGGGACGGGACGACGTGTAGGAGGGGGAGACCGTGGACTGGTGGCACAGCTACTGTCCCCACAGGCCACCCAGATGTGCTCAGTGGGCACCCCCAGCATGTCAGTGCAAGGCAGGGGGGAGGGCATGGGAAGCAAACCTGGGCTTCCAGGGCCAGGCAGGGGGGTCCCAACCCCCTTTGAAGCCCCCATGAAAGGGTCCGGCATAAAGTGAAGAGAAAGTCAAAGGAACAAAGAGAGCGGCTAATCCTGGCGTGAGCAAACAGCCCCGTTTGCTCAGGGCACAGCTGGCCCCGGGGCCAGGGAAAGGAGCACAGCAGGGCTCTGGGGGTGCCAGGCAGCAGGGGACCCTCTACCCAGGCTGGCCCCCTCCCCGAGCGCAGGCAGCCCCCAGGAGCTGGGTGCCCCTTGCCTGCTCCAGGCCTTTTTTTACACTTGCAAATTGCCAATAAACATCCGTGGGCAAATCCTGCTCCCCATGCCCTTCGCACCCCGCACCTCTCCCCGGCGGCATGTCCCAGGAAAGCACCGCGGCACTGCTGGGGGAAGGGGCTTGCGAGGGGCACCTTGTCTGGGGTGCCACATCTTGGGGGGTGAAGGTTGGCAGGGTTTACCCCACCTTTCCCAGTTTTGGCAGGCCACACACTGCCCGGCACCCCAGCACAAAGCCCTGGGTGCAGCTCAGAGGATGCCCATGGGCAAACCCTCCAGCTGCTGCCTTGTGCTAGCGGCCCCGCTCGCACCTGGGGCAATCCCACTGTACCCCCTTTCCCCATCCTGTTCCTTAGATGAGCTTTCCCCACCCCGATGGGGAGTACGGGGGGTGCTGGGAGGGCACCTCACCCCTCTCCCTACATCCCGCAGGGTGGCGAAGGGGTTAATGCCAGGCGGCCGAGCCGCAGGTGGGCGCAAGAATGAAATTCCTTCTCGCTGTCCTGCGAAGTCTGGGCACAAATATTTGCCTGCATGTCCGGTGGGGAGGGGGGAGACCACCATCGCTCTGGGAGCTTGCTAATCCCCATGCCAAACACCCCCCCCACCCCCCCCATGCCCCGCATGCCCCCCATCTTTCCTCCTGCTGGGGTCACCCTGCCAAGGCCTTTGAGGAGGGAATATTTGGGGCCGGGGGACACCAGCACCTTTGGGTGCTCCTATATGCAGGGAGCTCCATGGAGTTGATGGTGTGCTGGGAGCGGTCACGGTGCCCCGGGGCACGGCTGGGCTGGGGTTTCCCTGGCAGATGGGGCTGCTTTGGGGTCTCCTCTCCGCTCCCTGAGCCGTGCCCACCACCGCGGGCTGGGATGAAGGTGAGACCCCCAGCCATCCCCTCCATGCCAGCAATGCACCCTCCGTAATGAACTCCATGTGTTCACAGACAGAAAACATCCACTTCCCCTGCCCCCTCCATCGCCCCCTCAAGCTGCATCCCCCTCCCTGTACCTGCCACCCCCAAAACCCCCTCCATCCCCAGACCCCCCTGGCCTTCGTCTGAGGCAGCCCAGCCCTGCAAGCCGCCTACCAGTTGTGCAAATATTGCCGGAACGGCTGTAATCCCCGTGTCCAACGTGAATTATGAGATATTTCCACCCATTACAACAGCCCCCCCCCCCGCCCTGCCGCGTGTGTGCGAGGCTGGGGGGATTAGTCACGGGGCAAGCTGCGCTCAGCACAAAGCTTTGGGGAGGCCGACGGCTCTCCGTGCCCCGCGCCGAGGCGGGCTGGTTGAGGGGGGCTCTTTTTGGAGACAGGGAATCCCCCCCCTTGCGCCTTCCCGTCTCCAGGCTTGCGCTTGGCACAGGAGTGAGGAGGGGGGTGTTGGGGTGCCTGGGAGACAGTGGGAGGCTGTGAGAAGGGGGGGGGGGGGGGAGCTGGGGCGTGCGGTTTCGCCTCGACCCCATCCCCGGGGAGCAGAGGCTCCTTCCTGCCGCCCCGAGCCCGGCTCATGTTCAAAGCCGCGAGCAGGCAGCGGCTAATGAGGCCAGACAATAGGGAGCTGCGTGGGGCAGGAGCGCTGGCGAGGGCCCGCCGCGAAGCCCCCATGCCAGGCACGGCACGGCCCCGGCACCACGGCCTGCCAGGACCCTCCGCGGGACCCTCGCCGTCGGGCAGGGCACGTGCCCGCGAAGCCCTGGCGGCACTGCGGGGCTGTTTTCGGAGGGTGCCATCGGGGTGTCCCCGCAAGCCGGGTGCCTGCTTCCGGGTAGAGGTGCCGGAGGGGTGCGGGTGCCAGGCGGGGTGGCCGGGGCTGACGATGGCCGGCCGGCTCCGTCCCCATGCGGCTCCAGCTGCCCGCAGCCGGCGGCCCCGTTGGGGCTGTGCCGGCGCCAGGCCTGGCTCCCGAGCGCCTCAGAGCCGCCTTTGTGCAGGGCGCTGCCGGCACACATGTGCGGGCGCTGGGAAGCAGCTGGCGGGACCCGGACCCTTTCCCAGAGCCACCCCCAGCCGGCGCCAACCCCCCCCCCCCCCCCGCCCCCCGCCGCCAGCACAGGGACCCCCGAGGCACCCGCTGGCTCTGGCAAGCTGCCTTCTGCACGGGGGTACCCCTTGGCATTTCCAGAGAGAGCCAGGGCTGTGGATGAGGGATGCCCAGGCACAGCTGGGGCATCCATTCCCTCCCTGCCCGTGCGCCCCCACTGCAGTGGCGATGCCCCCCTCCCCGGGCAAGGATGCCCAGCACCCTCCTGCCCTGCCAGGCCCTGTGCCAGCGTACCACCCCGGTCCCAGCCTGGCAGTGCCAGGACACCTTTGCAGCCCCGCTCTCTCTCACGCTGCCCACCCCGTGCCTCAGTTTCCCCCCGTGCTGAGGGCCACGGCCAGGCAGGTTCCCCGTCTCTCCTTCCTTTCCCCAGGAAAGGGGAGGGAGCTTCCCCCGCTGCTTCCCCGCGTCCCGCAGCCGAGCCAGGAGACTGTGACGAACTCTGGGTGCGCGGAGCCAGCGCCGGATTCCTGGCACCGGCGGGGCGGCCGGGAGCCATCGCCCGCCTCCTCCCTGCTCGGCCCCGCTTGCGTCCCGCCGTCCCCCCCAGGCCGCTGCCGCGCCGCAGCGGGCACCGCGCGGCAACGCTGGCACGGCCACACAGACCCCAGCCCTCCCCTGCCCGCCGCGCTGCCGCATCCCGGGCCGGTGGGGACGTCAGGAGAGAGAAGAGGGGACAGGTCAGTGGCACTGCCAGGGGCAGCAGGGAGGGCACAGGGCCAGGGGGTGCCATGCTGCCTGGCATGCTCCCCGCTTGTAGAAAGCGCCTGCAAACAGCGGGGTGCCGGGCATGGCCGTGCCCGGAGGATGCCCGGGGGCCCTGGCCGTGTCCCAGCCCTGGTGATGCCAGCGGGCTGACCCCACCGGGGGAAGCCTGGCTGCTCCCCGCTGCCCCTCACCAGCCCCAGCTCCCGCCACGGGGCAGGTCCCCGGTCACGGCCAAGCCCCCCGCACCCCACTGCACTCCCTGGGAGAGGTGCCCGCTGCACGGGGACACGTGCCAAACCAGGGCAGGGAATGGGATGGGGCGGCTGCGGGCAAGCCGGGGATGGGCAACCCTGTACGGGCTGGCATGAGGGGCACAAGGCAGTGGGGTGCATCCCCCCCCCCCCCCCCCCCCCAGCCGCTTGGCGGGCCACGGGGAGGCCCAGGAGGAGCCTTCTGGGGAGGCAGGGGCCTGTTGTGCTCCAGCTGTGCCGTGTTTCCCTAGCTACACCGCGCAGCTGGCCGGGTGTTTGTACCGCCCGGAGTTGATTTTGGCAGCCCCGCGCTTCCCGCTCCTCCCCTCCCCACCCGCCTTCCCCTCCCCGGGCGCCCGCCCGCCACGCACCCACCACCCGCCACCCCTCCCTGCCACCCTCGTCGGGGGTGGCAAGGCAGGGACATGGGTGACACATGCTGGCCCCCCTCCCCACCAGGCCCCCCACTCCCCGCAGTCCGTGCCTCAGTTTCCCCAGCTGGATGATGCTCTCCTCAGGCTTTTCCATGGTGTCTGCTCACTGCTCACCGCCACCACCCTCACCAGCCCGGGCACATGTGGGTGAAGAGTGGGACCAGTACCGGGTGCTGCTCTCTCAGCTTTCTCCACAGCTGCCCCCTCCCCTCCCTGGGCAGGGGAACCCCGGCATCTGGGCTCCTGTCCTCCCACAGCTGCTGTCAACGCTGGGCAGGAGCCCGGGGTCCCGCTCTGGAGCTTTCCTCTGCCCAGGCTGGGCAGCAGCCGGAGGGATTTGGGGACGTCCAACATAGTGGGGTGCGTGTGACTTTGCTGTGTGAATGGGCGGAGGGGGCATTCTTTGGGGGCCCACGCTGAGGGGTGCTGAGTGGATGGAGGATCTGTATGTCCTGGGGAAAGGCTGGCTGCAGGAGGGAGGTCTGCAGAGGGTCCATACGTGGATGGATGGTGCCCTGTGGTGCGCAGTGTCCTGGGGTGTCAAGTGGCCTGGGAGGGGGCTGAGTGAATGGAGGGAGTCCCCAAGTCAGCCCATGCCTGGGGTGGCCCAATAAGCCCTGGGAGGGCTCATGCCTGAAGGTGGTCTGTGCTGGTGGGGAACCCCAAGGATGCCCCGTGCCCAGGAGATGCCCCATGCCAGGGGAGAGTATGACTGAGGAGGGGGAGATCTGAA